TACTCAAATAGATCAGAGCGCAATGCTCTTCAAACGGGTGTAATACCCAGGGTGTAGTCAAAGGCGCAATGCCTGTTTAGGATGAGGATGGTGCAGCACATCATGCGCGACGTGCTGGTGGCGTGATCGGCCCGCGGCGGGCGTTCTGGGTTAGACAGGGGCAGTGCGACCCATTACGCGGGGGTTCTATGTTGGCACAATGACGACGACCATTGAGCCAATTCGGTGCGCGCAACATATTTAGCGCAATGTACAGTATGCATAGTAAGCCGCGGCAGACGTGTGGGGTCGGCTTGGGTTAGTGCGCCTGCACTGTGTGGGGATTCTGCCATGGATGCTTTCCGTTGCGTGCTCCTACGGATATCGGTAGGCTGTTCAAAACGAATACCAATGATGTCTGGAACCCAGACGGGGCGCACTGCTTGCGAACCAATCATGTCCCCGCCACCGCGCCATTGCATATTCTGTGCTACATTGTCATGAACACGGCATCACGTCATCGCGGGGTTTCTCATGCAAGTCTCGTTGGGGTGTTCTTCGGGCTCGATAATAACCATTTGGCTCTGACCGATGCTCCGTTCCGATGTGGGTCACAGTGTTATTCCGATCAAGCCTAAAAGGCATATCCGGCTCATCGAACCTGCTTAAATCATATTGGAATATGTTTAGAATCCTGTTCGGCTGCCATCGGGATCTCAGGAGCGGCGGGTTTACGGTGCGACAACCAGAAACAAACAAAAACGGTAGGTCCCTAAGGGGGGGTAGCATATATATATATATATATATATATATATATATTGTTGGGCTTCTTGCTTGTTCGCTGCCGATGGGCTTCTTGGGTTTCAGGATGGCCCCAAGAGGGCCCTAGAGCGCCCCAAGACTCGCCCCAAACGGACCCAAGGCGGCGCGAGCGCCCCAGATCCAATAGCGGCCCCAGAGGGCCCCGAGAAACTCTTTTTAGAACCTCCCAAACAAACAAAATGTTAGAAACTATTTTAGATCCTCCCAACAAATATCAAACTTCTTCTTCATTTGAGTACTTGGGTCCCGACGGCCCCAAGAAGACGTCTCAGACTGTCCCGACTGGGCCCAAAAGAGAGGACCCAAGATGGCCCTCTGAAACCTCCCCAGGGCTCCCCAAGAAGCTTCACAGGAGAGCCCCGGACGCTCCAAGAGGCGCCTCGGACCATCCCAGCGGACCCCAAGAGACGCCCAAGATGGGTTTCGTAAGGACCCCACAAAAAACAAGACGCCCGTAAGACGCATCACTCGTTGTACATCTGCCTGCTGCAGCGCCTGGACGAGCGGCCCCGGCAGGGGCTCGGGCAAGAAAAATCCGACCCATCCGAGGCGCGCGTCGGCACTTGCAGGCCCAATGGAATGTTACGCTGGCGCGGCCTTCAATTGCTCTCCCCCCCCCAAGGGCTCCCAACTTCGCGATTCGCGCTGCGCGAAGCGCGAACAACTTCGCGCTCTCGCGCCTTCTCCCAGGGGAGAAGAGGAGGATGAGGAGGCATCGGGGCCGCAGCGCGAAGCGCGAAGAACTTCGCGCCCTCGATGGCGCCCTTGCCCCCCGCACTCCCGACACATGCTTTCGAAGCGTTTGTCCAACGGCATGCTTGCACAAGAAAGGGCTGCACATGGTGAATCGGCGCATCGCTCCTAGGTGGGCTGGTGGGGATACGCGAGGCGTCGAGGGTGTACAGGAGTCTCACCGATGGACGGCGGCTCCATCTCAAAAAGTGGTTATCACTTCGGCGCCGCGCACACTCGTCTTAACAGCTTGCACCAGTTTGACAGTTTCTTGTGGCTGGCGTTCCCAAAATTGTGTTTTGGTATGATTTAGGGTTGGCAGGTCGCGACAATCACTTTGATTCACGGTGATGACGTCCCAGAGATGGTGTTCTGGCACGATGTGGGTGGGATCGTCAGGTCGCAACCGTGACGTTGAGTCGCGGCGTTGAAGTCCCAGGAATGGTGCTTTGGCGCAGTTGAAAATTTTCAGGCGGTTGACTTCCAACGAGGCTGTTCCAACAGTGAAAAATAAATCTTTACAGGAGCCTATGAAGAGGGACCTTAGAGGAAGAGTGCATGATAAAATCGTTCATGCGCCTTGGGTTTACACTGGTCCTCCTCGTCCTCCTCCTTCTCCTCCTCCTCTGCCTCCTGCTCCTCCTCCTCCTCCTTTCCGTCCGCCTGCTCCTCCTCCTCCTCCGTCAACAGTCTTCCTCCCCGTCCACCTGCTTTTCCTCCGCCCCCCTCCCCCCATCTCCTCCTCCCCGCCCCCCCTCCATACTCCCTCCGCGTCCAGCAAGCCAGTCGCGGGCGAGTGGGTGGGATGATTGCGCAAGCAATGGAATTAACAACTCACTGCGTATAAAAAATAATATTACCACATTGGGCGCACCACATAGAATGCACTGCACTACGTCGATTGCCCCACACATGTTGCACAACGGATGTTGCCCGAGGCACACTAGCTGGGGCTGTCGCTGGCTAGCATTTGCTGTTATGATTGACCATGCATCCCGTGGTATTACTATTCTTCCTCACCTGCTTATTGCTCCATCATTCCTCTTCAGCGCAGTCCCATCCCTCCCCTCTCTTCCACCTCATTGTCCTCCTCCCCCTCATCCCTGCATCCCGTCCCCTTCTCGCTACATGTGTGCCCCCCTTCTTCTCGCTCGCCCTCCCGATGCCCCCTTGCAACTACTCAACATGAATACGATTCTCCTCCCACACCCGACGATGTCCCCCGACGATGGCCGCGGAGCCGCCCGCCCCTCTCCGCGTAGTGCTGGTGTACGGCATGATGTTGGTTGGCCATGTGTTGTTAGACATCTTTCGGTGTCTGCTGCAGCGTTGGCTGCGACTGGCGCTGCTTCCGTCGCTCAAAATGGGTGACATCGCCCCAGCGCGGGCTGCTTGTCTGGATCCGAGTGCTTCCTCACCGCTGCCGCCGCTTCCTGTTCCCTTTTTCCGCCTTCCCCTCGTCCTCCTGCTCCTACCCCTCCTTCCACTCCGATTCCAGTTGCTGCTGCTCGGCCTCTTCTTCGTCCATCCTCCTGCCTTCTCCTCCTCCTCCTCCTCCTCCTGCTCCTCTGTTTCCTCCCGTTCATCGTTATGATCCTCCTCCTCCTCCTCTTCCTCCTCCTCCTCCTCCTTCTCCTCCTCCTTCTCTCCCTCCTCCTATGTACGCAACGCCCCCTATCCGAGTGTGCGTAACACGATGGGAACTTGTTTTTAGTTCCAGGTCCGCTGTGACACGCGTCCGCGGATAGAGAAACATCAGCGCTATGCGAGATATGGCGCGAGCGCACCTGGCTTGTCCTAACCCTTCTTCGTCCTCCCTACTCCTCCTTCTTCGTCCCCCTCGTCTTCCTGCCCCTACTTTCATCCGCTCCTCCTCTTCCCCCTCCTCCACCCTCCCTTCCTCCCTCCCTCCTCCTTGCCCCCCCTCATTCCCTCCCTCCACGTCCTCCCTCATCGCTACCCGATCACCCCTCCTGGCTCCTATCGCCCCCCCTTCCTCTCCCCCTTATTGTTCCCCCGTTCTCCCCTTTCCCGCGCCCCCTCCCCCTTCCGCCTCCTCTTCCTCCTCCTCCTCCTCCTCTCGGGGCGCGCAACCATGGATTAGCGATCCATGGATTTGGCGGGCGGTCGCCACATCCATGGATCGGGGGAGGTGCCCTCCCCAAAATGCGGTCGGTGCCGCCTCGCTCGGCGGCGGGAATCTGACATTTCCCATGGAAACGTGACCCGCCGCTAATACACGCCTCCGTAGTCCATGTGTGCGGTCGACTGATCCGCCTCCTCCTCCTCCTCCTCCTCATCTTCCTGCTCCTCCTCCTCCTCCTCTTCCTCCTCCTCCTCCCCCTCCTCCTCCTCCTCCTCCTCCCTCCTCCTCCTCCACCTCCTCCCTCCTCCCCTCCTCCTCCTCCCTCCTCCTCCCTCCTCCTATCCTTATTCCTTATTAGAATATACTCCTACTCCCCCCTCAGGCCGGCAGATAGCGGGCGCATCCGGGTGGTCCCATCCTAACCTGTAAAAAACAATACAAAATCAACATTTTTCTTATTTTTTCCTCTCGACATGGACGTCCTGTCGTCCACGGCGATAATCCATTGCAAAAAATACCACAAAGAGCACACGCGCGCGTTCATGTCAGAATCCTACCGAACACCGTGTGTTTGCAAGCATTTCAACATAAAAACATCAAAAACCCAATGTTTTTTCACAAAAATTGTACAAATTTCCCGCCCGGGCTCTCTTGCTGAAATCATAGGAAAACCATGGGAATCTTAAGAATTCGGTCAAATCCAGCGATTTCACGTCATCGCGCGGTGCACTCGCGATGCTCTGTCATGCACCCAGGCCGCGAATCCTGTGCAAAAAATACTACAAAGAGCACACTCGCGCGTTCATGTCAGAATCCTACCGAATACCGTGTTTTTGCAAGCATTTCAACATAAAAACATCAAAAACCCAATGTTTTTTCACAAAAATGCTTTGGGGTGTCCTGTCAGACCGTCGGGCTTCCTCCGGCCACCTCTGGCTTCCTGCGGTGTACCGGGCCATTCTCGACTCGTCTGGCAATGCGTGCGCGGCATTCAACACGCGCTCGCCAGTTCCCGTCGGCAACCGCCATCGCGGCCGCATCAGCTGTACCAAACCGGCTGGCCGGTGTGACTTCGGCCCCCAGTTGTGCCAGCTTTGCTTCTTATGTTGTGGGAGGGCGGGTGGGACTGGGCATGCCATGCTTGACTCGCTCGAGTTGGCTAGCTTGACTCCTACTCCTACTCCTACTCCTACTCCTACTCCTCCTCCCCCTCGTTCCCCTCCTCCTCCTCCTCCTCCTCCTCCTCCTCCTCCTCCTGCTCCTCCTGCTCCTCCTCCTCCTCCTTCTCCTGCTCCTCTTCCTCCTCTTCCTCCTCTTCTTTTTTTTTTATCCTCCTCCTCAGACGACGACAGCGGCGGCGACGATCTTGACGAGAAGCTGCCTCAGGACAGCTCGCGAACGTGCTCGCGCCCTCGAATGGCGGGGAGCACCGCAGCTCGCAGGTGGCCCCTGGGCAGGAAGCGGGGGGTAAGGAGGAGGAAGAGGAGGAGGAGGAGGAGGAGGAGGAGGAGGAGGAGGACGAGCAACGGGGGAAGGAGGGGGAGGAGGAGGGGGAGGAGGAGGAGGAGGAGGAGGAGGAGGAGGAGGGGGAGGAGGAGGAGGAGGAGGAGGAGGAGGATTCTCCCGCTCGCGCGCTAGCGAGCTGTCTCCGAGCGCGGCCGCGGCGCGCGCGCGCGGGGCGGCCCAGAATGGGCAGGCCCGTCCCGCGCGCTCGTGCCGGGGCGCCGCGCGTCAGGCGGGGGAGACCGCCTGCTCGCCGACGACGGCGAGGCAGCGCCCATCAGCCTTAGATTGGGAGAGGAGGGAGGGGGGCAGAGAAGCTGCGGAGACAGCAGGAGCTTGCTCACAGAGAATAGAAGAGGCATTCTCCCGCTCGCGCGCTAGCGAGCTGTCTCCGAGCGCGGCCGCGGCTCGCGCGCGCGGGGCGGCCCAAAATGGGCAGGCCCGTCCCGCGCGCTCGTGCCGGGGCGCCGCGCGTCAGGCGGGGGAGACCGCCTGCTCGCCGACGACGGCGAGGCAGCCATACCCGTGCTCAAGGACCTTGCGAAGTGACAAGGTTTCGGCGGGCGGCCGCAAGTAGGGCAGGCCAAGCGGCGGGGCCGACTTGGAGAAATGAAGCGACAAGGCGGTCGCTGGCGGTGGCGAAGAACAGGATCCGCGCCCGTGCGGGCACGGGCAGCGCAGCAAGAACTGTGGAAGCGGCGGCGGCTTGCAGGTAGCGCTCAGCACTGGAAGCCTGACGCCAACGCCCCCGCCAGAAGACGCGAGGGACGTCTTCCGTAGCGATATAGAAGTCTGTTGCGCCAGAGCCCCGCAGACATGCGGGCGTCAGGTTGAGCCCCTGACCCGCTTTGGCAAGAGGGACGCCCAGGGCCGAAAGCAAATGATTCCACCGAGTACGGAAGCCGCTCGCACCGAAAGGGGCGAGAGGATCGGTGGAAGCCAACCGCCCAAACACTTGATTCAGAATCTTCACCGTGCCCCGATCGGAGCAGCGAGCATGCTGCGTCGGGTACGTTCTCCTGGTCTTTGGAACAAGAATCGAGAGAAAAGCATCCCCTTCAACTTCGAGGCGGTCGCAAGGAAGCGACAAGTCACAGCGGCGTGACGCCAGCAGCTCGCCAGGCCTGAGGAACATCGTGAAGCCCATGAGCAGCAAGGCCGCCATCACAGGCCAGTCCCAGGCGAAACAGAGACCGACCATAGCGCGCAGCAGAGCGCGAGGTAAGGGCGGGCGGAGCTTTGGCGGCTCCGCGAGCTTCCATTGCTTCGCTACGTCCCAAGCTTCTGTTACAAAGGCCTTCCAATGCGGATGAGCGCTCTGGATTCCCAAGATGGCATGAACCAGAATACAATGAGGGAAACCTGCATCATGAAGCCACACGCCGAAGGTCGCGAGGAAGCGGGCGAGAAGTATCCCGCTACGGTAAAGAGTGGCGGGCGGCACGCCAGTGTGTTCTGCTAACCACAGTTCGAACGCATCAATCGATCTCGAGCGACGATCGAGATACGCGGAGGTGAGGTGAGAATCGCGCACGAAGGGAGTGCGCGGAGGGCGAGCGGGCGCGGAAGGCGCAGCCCGACTAAGCCCTTGGCCTGCGGTCGGCGCCGCGGCTCCCAGAGAGATGCAGAGGCCGCAGACGCACCACAGGATGAGCGCAGGGCGGCCAGGGCTGGGAGAGCTGATCAGCGTGGCGGCCCTCCTGCTCCTGGACGCGTAGAAGGGCGGAACGAGGGTGTCCCGCCCGTCGGTCTCGAACCCCGACGCCTCCGCCAGCATCGCCCGCGCCGAGGTGAAGGATCCGCCCATGTTACGGTGAGCACGGCGAGCCCCTGCTTCGATCTCGGCGGGCAGAGCGCCCCCTCCCTCGAGGGTCGCCCAGTCAAAGGGCGGGCGCGGCTCGGCGCGCGCAGCTGCGGCCGATTCGGCGAGCTCGGAACGAGCTGCCGAGGACGTGAGGCCCGAATGATGTGGAACGGGCACCACCTCCGCGAACGCGTCGAGGATCTCGGACGGAGGGGAATGAGATCCCCACAGCGCTGCTGGGATGGCGCCGTGACCGTCCTGCACGTGGTACAGAAGGTCGAAAAGGCAGGCCAACTTGCCCGCGCGCCTCCTGTGCTCGATCTTTGAGCCGAGCCCGATGCCACGGATGGCGCCCGCCCCCATGGCTTGGAGGTCAGCGCCCGCGGGGATAGCCTCGGGCTCGACGGCGGCCACGTAAGGATGCAACCACGAGGCTTCGTCGATCGGCTCGGCGCCGCCTGTCTGAAACAGGCGCTTATAGGCGTGCAAGGCCTGCAGGAGGCAGTGCAGGTCATCTCTGCCCTCGGGCTCGGCGGCCCCTGCGGGTGCGAAAGACCTCAGCCACGACGCCGCGCTCTGGAAGGCAGCTTGCCAGGCGGGTCCCCACCTCACCACTGTGACCTTCTCACCGCCGAGGTTGAGACGCCACGCTAGGGCGGTGGCGGCCCCTGGAGGCAAGGGCTGCTCAACGGCCGCGGAGGCCGTGCGCCGCGCTGCGAAGGCTGCAGCCGCGGCGCTCCCAGCGTCGCCGCTGTGGGAGCCGCTGGGATGCAGCTCGTGCCCTGAATCTCGGCCAGGCGCGGGGCCGCTCGAAGACCCCCTTTCCTCGGCGGCACGCCCTCCGCCCTGCGGGGCCGCAACAGCATCGCTGGAGGAGCGCGTGCCTACCGAAGACTGAGGGGCCTGAGCAGCGGAGTCCGCGCGGGAGCTGCCTGCGTGGGCGTCGCCCGAGCTCGCACCATGGCGGGACGTGGCTGGCCGCTGCGCAGTAGCGGGGCTCGGGCGCCGCTTCGGAGCGACTCGAGGGGAGCGCACCTCGCGACGCCGAGGCGACGTCGCCTGACGCGAAGGCGCGCGAGAGGAGCCGCGCGCGACGGCCCGACTAAGCCCCTGGCCTGCGGTCGACGCGCGGGATCGCGACGCCGCACGCCCACCAGAGTGGTGAGGGGGCGGCGGCGGCGGCGGGGGCACGGGCCGCGGAGTCTCGGAGCCTACACGCGTGCCGCGGCCCCGAGAGCGACTGCGAACCGAGGCGCGAGCGGCGGGCGGAGAGGCCCCCGAGCGGCGAGGGAAGGCCGCCTGCAGGCGGCGGAGGACCTCGGGGTTCAGGCCCGCCACGACGCGCTCGAGGTCCATCGAGGAGTCTGCGAGGGCACTCAGCACGACGTCCTCGAGCTCCGTCGGAGAGTCCTCGTCGCACGCGGGCTCCGCTCTCGAGCGGCTGCGAACGCTCGCGGGCGGGGACCCGTCAGGAGTGTGCGGGCCCTCCGATGCCTCCCCCGCAGGCGGCTCCGACGGCTCCTCGGGCGAGATCGGGCCGTCGACGGGAGGCGACGAGCAGCCCCCCGAGGGAGAGGTGCGGTCGGTCCCGTACGGGTTTGGAGACCGCGTACGGCTGCGGGCAGGGCTGCGGCTCCGCGGTGGGGAGCCCACTCCCGCGGCGGAGCTGGGGCGTGCCGCGCCTGCCCAGCGGCGCGCATTGGCAGTGCGACGCGCCCTGCGGCCAGGCGCCGTGGCGGCCCCCCCCTCAGGGGCGGGGAGCGCCGCCATCGAAGCCCGCCGCTGCCTGGCGGCGCGCCTGGTGCGCGCGGCGCCCGTGCGCGAGGCGGAGTGCGGCGCGTGACCACCGCGGTTGGGCTGGTCCTCGACCGCTTCATCCCGCGGGCCCAGGCGGGCGCGGACCGCGCGCCGCTCACGACGGCTGAAGCTGGACGCAGGGTCGTCGGCGGGCCTTGCCAAGGCGCGCGGGTCCTCAGCCTCCACCTCGGCCAAGGAGCGGCCAGTGGACGACGCGGGTGCGTCCCCAGCACGAGCGGCACGTTCTGCGATGGCGAGGCCCGTCGAGACCTCAGCGTTGTGCAGGACGGCGCGCAAGGTTTTGCGCCAATCCCGACCCAGCTGGACGGGAGCAGTGCGCGGCAAGCCCGCGGCCTCTCGACTGGCGGCCTCGCGCACGCGTCGGAAGTAGGCGCGATCGGCCATCCCTTCCGCGAGCTCGGCACGAGCGACGGCACGCTCTCCTTCGCCGCGTGCAGGAGCCTGCACCGTGCGCCTGGTGGCGTCGGCACGCGCGGTGCGGAGTGCGTCGAGCTCCACGCGGCCGCGCGACACGGCGGAGACGAGGATGGCATCCGACTCAGCCGCCCGCGTCGCGAGGGCAGACGAAACCCCGCCCCTCGGGAGAGGCGCGCCCGAGGCGGGGAGGGCAGCCCGAGGGGCCAGCTCGGCGCTCGCAAGGGCGACCCGCGAGGAGACCGCCTCTTCGAGCGCCTGAAGGGCCATGGTCGACCCTGGAGCCAGCTTGCCCTTGCGGGCGCCCTTTCCTGCCGCCTTGGCCCGGGCGTAGGCGCGGGCGGCAGGACCGTCGCCGCCCGTGCTAGGAACATCGGGCGGCGCGGCGGCCTGCGAGACGGCCTGGAGCAACACTGACTTGGCGTCACAGAGCTGCTTCCACTTCAGCGCGCGGGCTGCTCGCTCGTCGGCGCCCAGGTGCGCGGGAGTCCTGTCTGGATGGTAGACTAGGGACTGGCGCCTGAAGGCGGCCTCAATTGTGCCGCGCGAGGCCCCGTCCACTACGCCAAGCAGTTGGCGAGAGGCGCTCACCCTGGCCGCTCGCTGGAAGGTGCGGGGGGTAGCTGCTGAGGCCCCCTTTGGCGCTTCCCGCGAGCCGACGCGCGACGAGCCCACCCCGATAGCAGGCGGAGGGGCCGCCGCGGCCTTGGAGCGGAGGGCCAGTGGCGGAGCACGCTTGGCGGCCTGGGGAGCCGATCCTGCGCTGGCGGCGCCAGGGTCGGGGCCGGGCGAGCCGCCCTCCGCGGAGGCAGACGCTTTTGGCGTGGCGTCTGCCGAGGACGCGAGAGGCCGTTCGCTATCAGCGAAGAGCGCGTTGCGAGGCCCGCGACGCTCTCCGCTGGCGAGAGCA